TCTACTGTAAGGTTGGAAATGTATTTTCTTCACCCTAAAATATGTTTTGAAATGTATTTTGGTTTGAAAGAAATATATTTTCAATTTCAAAAATATATTTTTTTGGAGCATCACAAATACAAAATATATTTACCATATATTTGAAATATATTTTGGCCAGGAAAAATGTATTTTTTTACCGTATGGGAGTGGTAAGTATAACAAGATTGTGTACTTGCTTTAAGAAAGAAAACACTTGACTAAATTGATTGAAAAATAATCTGTGCCTTCTTGTAGTTTGCTTGCTACTACCTCTTCTCGCTCATTTTCAAACATTTCTACAATAAGATGTGAATCAAACAGTTATTCAGTCAGTGTCTAGAAGATCAGAAGCTGAGCTGATGTGGAGAGTTAATTTCATAGGCAATGTGCTCTGCTGTGTTTGCTGATTGTTTGTAGACCATTGTACCTGTCAGAATTTCTGGAAAACTCAATTGCATCCCATGTTTCTTATATTATCTTTTTTTTTTAAATGTGGGACTCATAACAATGGGAATTTTCCAGTTTTAGAGATTAAATAAAAATGAGCTTTATTCAAATTTATTTGACAAAGATTTATTTTACTATTCACTTTGCTATGTATGGCTGTCCAGTGTGGGTGCATTTGTGTGTTTTTTAACTGAATATACTATGAAAAGTATCAGGTAGAGTTGGTATTGGGATGGAAAGGTGTGTCATTTTACAAGGTGAAATCCTGACAGAAGAAAGATACTTTCAAAAGCTTGGATATGATCAGATTTCCTCTCTACACTCTTGTAAGCCTACACTTGGAAGTAATAATAATCTGACAATCAGAAATGGGCACACACACGCACGCGCGCACAAGCATACTCGAATACACACAGGTATAACAGAGGCCCAAAACCGACGACTCCACAGAGAGAAGTGAAAGTGCCTAAAAAGAGGTTAAATGACATTACAAAGACAACCCAATTAGATTACGAAAGATATTCTTAACTAAATCTGAAACATAATGATCTGTAATGGGAGTCTTGTGGCTTATAAAAGCCTTTCTCTGGAATGATCAGTCCCTCTCTCATTTTCCATCTTTCTCTTCTAGCCACTCCTTCTCTTTCATTTAGTCGCATACGTAAGACACATACAGAGGGATTGAGGAGCAGATCTCTGCCTGGAGTCGTCAGCCAACTGTGGCAGCATGTGAGACTATCCTGCTACTGTGTTTGAATTTCAATGGCCAGCCAGATAGAGAGAGATAAAAGTGTCTCATTTTACTCCTCAAGTTGTCACATTGCAGCACTGTCGACAACTAATCGTTGTTTGAAAATTGATTATTGCTCTTAATCATTTTCTTTACCCTATGTCTTGTAGACTGTGCTTCCATGCCAGAGCGAACAGCCGTGACACAAACCATGTTCAGTGGATCATTAGCCTCCTGCATGCTGTAGCACAGAGGGGGTGAGCGGGGAGGGGACCGGTGTCCTTGTGTTTATCTGCTCGTTTATATCTACATTTCCATGTCTTTCCGTTCACCCTGCTGACCTGCACATGAAAGCAAACTTCTTACACGTCATATTTCTTTGATGCCTACAGTATGCATTATCACAGATACTGTACTGTCCCAGCCATAAGTACGAGTGTGTGCGCGCGTGTCTGTGTGTGTTGTCTCAGCATCAGCAAGCAGCACACACGTTGCAACGGAAAGTGTCGATCCCAGAGCATTTTCTGCTTGCTCCATAAGTTTCTTAATACAGCATCAATGGATTCAGCGTTTAATCTCCAGCTCGCAGTAGCTGCTCTCTTTCACCTTAATGCGTTCTATTTCTAACACTCGCATTCACACATATACTCTCGTGCCCCCTCATATTTATCTCACACTCCCACTCTATTAAACTCTGAATGTGGTGACACCAAAATTCGGCTATTTTGGTGTAGTGTTTTTATCAGGAACAGCTACATGGCTGGAACCAGTGGTGTGTGTGAGTATATGCCACTTTGTGTGTGCAATTGAAAGTGAATGTGGCTGTATGGATTGTGTGTGTCTGTGTGTGTGTGTGAGAAAGAGGGAGAAAGAGAGATTAGCAAGATTACAAATTCGTCCTCATAGTCTCTATGCTACCATGGTGCCATCTTCTGGTAGTGAAATACAACAACCAACCTCTGTTCTATTAATTATGCAGCAAACTGACTGCAGTTATGCACGTTTGTACTCAGAATGCAAAGAATGCAACATTTAAAACATGAAATTAAAATTCAATTCACAGATAAGTAGAAAAAGAGTTTAATATAATGACAGGCATCATTTGAAAATAATGCTGAAACTGGGTTTAACATTTCACGCTCATAGTAAATGCACTCAATACAATACACATTTTATATTATAAGGCATTACTGTACAGTCTGTGGAATATAGCAGCTTGCAGAATCTTTTAGTGTGCACACACTCACACACAGACCATTTTTCTCACTCATGCAAAAATAATGTAGCTGTAAAGCCATCTCAATCACTGACACTGGAAAAAGAAGTGTGTCAAGTTGTTTCAAGGGCTGTTCAGTCATCACAGTGAAACCCATCACAGACAGTAATGTTACAAAGACCACATCCCATCCACAAGAGTTGGAAACAGCAGACTCTGACACGCTAATATCTAGGGTGGAATTAAAATAAGGGTCTGCCAAGGTATGAGAGTGGATTCAGTTCTGGCTTAAACGTGCACAGGCTCACAGGCAAAACTCACTCTCCCTCTGCACATACACAGACATAAAAAACAAACATAAAAAACAGACATACCAATGACTATTCAACTTTTTTTTTTTAAACGAAATATTATATTCTGTACAGAAAGAACTTTTGTGCACACATAAAAGGAAAAAAAAATACATGTTTTTCAAATCCTGTGAAGACTGGGTAACCATACACTCATTTTTTTTTACACAGAAAGCAAAGAGCATCTTTCAGTCAGGTGTATTGTGTTAGGAGAAGAACACTGAAGATGCAGTTTATTTAGGTATTTCTGTTTATTTGACACCACAATGAAACAGAAATGTGGCTAAAAGCTAAAACACAGAGATAGCACACTTTATATCCACCCCAACATCTGAGTTCTCTTATAATAGATCTATAAGACCTAAATGAATTAAGAGTGTCACAAACACACTCATTAAAATAGTATGTACAGTAAGGACCACTTTATCAAAGCTCGTCATAGTGTCCTTAACGTTGCCCTACCACTGGATAGTTTTCTAAGTGGCCCATTGACGTACTCTACAAAAGCAGCTGCTGAACCACCGAATTTGGTATTTAAAATATTCAAGTAATGCCAGGAATCAAGAGTAATTACATACACACATACACAATTATGGTGGAACTGCTACCCAAAGGAAAATGTGAATTGGATAAAAAAGATATATACATATATGTGTATGTTTGTCTGTTCTGCTCCCAACTCAGTCAAAGCCATACTTTGTTGTTTCTTGACTTTCTTACCATATGTCTAAGATAAAACATCCACTCTACTGCCATCAGTGCCTTTTGGAATCTGAATATTCTTGTTGATACTTTAAATATTACATCATAGTGTAAGTACATCCTTGGATCAATTTCCTATTGATCTGGACTGTGTAAGTATGCAAAACATATAAACCAGGCATCCTGCGTGCACCACTGGTGGTCTTGGTCAGATTTAGTCCCCCAAACTTTTTTCATTCTCGGTTACGTTTCTAGACGGTGTTGGGGTAATATTTGAAAACCTTGTAGATCCATTGCGTGTAGAAGGGCACGTTAATGAAGATGCTAGGCTGGTTGGCCCGAGCACAGCCTCTGCCATGGACACTTACTCCAACAATAACCCTGATATACCCATCCTGACACACCAGAGGGCCTCCATAGTCCCTCTGTGAAAAAAAAAGAAAAAAAAAAAAAGAAAGATTAAATTTATAGCACATTTTTCTTTGTCCGTAGTTTTAAACAGCTAACATTAATGTTTTACGTTTCTGACACTCAAATGAAATTGTTCTGTTATAGATATTATATCCAAACATGGGCAGCTCTTTTCTAAAGCCAGAAACCACAAAATCAAGTCTTTGATAGCTGATGAAATTTAGCGCAACAGTCTCCAGCTGCTCTATTTACAACTGACTGAATACTAAGCCCACGGATTCACATAACATTTGTTTGAGATTTAGATCAAACTGGGCTTTGGAAGCACTGTGTTAAACAAAGGCGCTAATGCCCACGTAGATTCACACTGGGAACAATTACTTTATCCATAGGAGTAAAAGCCTGTTCTTGTTTACCAACACGGTTTGAGTGCACTGTATGAATTCTAGTGAGCACTTTTCCTTCTGATCACTAAAACAGTTATTTGCCCTGTGTGTAAATACCAAAACACTTCTTTAGGAAAACAATACAAACTGTTTACAACAGTTTACCTCACACACTCCCTCATTTCTCTTCCCTCCTGCACAGATCTTGTTGGTGGTGATGTGAAGGTTTCCTCTGTGCATTTCTCTACACCGGTTATTCCTGACAATGGGCAGTTCCACTGCCTTTAGCATATCTTCATAGCCAGTGCCTGAAAGAGTTAAAAATTGCACTTCATTGCCTGTGTTTTGTTGTAGTAAATATAATACAGTGCAACACAATGTTAAGAAAAACCCATGGTTAACATATTGCAAGCATAAGAACCAGAAAATAGGTATGTATACTATAATCCAGTATATAATATTAGTACCTTTGGTCTCTCCCCATCCATACATTTTACATATTGTTCCTTCTGGGATGCTGCACCCAGCCACAGGTAGCTGAATCGTATGGACATTGTCTGCAGGAAGGGCAGGCCTGAAAAACATATTTACAAAATATGATTAGCATCACAAGTACAGAAAAATATATCAATATATCACTGAGATTATTTTTCCAGGCACTCACTTAGAGAGCCTTAGGAGGGCTAAGCTGGAGCCCTCAGGGCCACATATTACATGGGCTATACTGACTTCCTGCCTCTTAGACCAGTCAGGAGCGCCCTCTCGAATATCAGAGACCCCCAGCCACACTCGATACTCGCTGAGGTTCGGAACACTGAACAGGCACAAGAAAAAGTTAATACAGTTGGAAATACTGCACAGTTATCATTCTTAGGGTTAAAACTGCTCAAATCCTTTAACTTTTTATCACCCTACTCCAAAAACCAAAAAGGGAGACAACATTACCATGAGGAGAAGCACTCTCTGTCAGTAAGCACCCACTCGTCTCGTATTAGTGAACCGCCACACCAGTGCATTGATCTGAGAACAGCACAAAACACAAATATTATATTGAGGTCAAATCTATGACATCCCACAGCATACATGACCTGAAACTGAAAAGAATAAGCAACCCTTCAGATTTTTTTTTAATCAATTCAAGAATAGTCTGGGCAGGATCCTCCACTGTTCTTTAGTAGAGGAAAATGTGTCGAATGCTAAATCCCATACCCTTTCTGTATGCTGACCATCCAGCTGCCTTCTGATATGCTCATTGGACTTCCTCCTACGATCCTCGTTGTCTTATGGACAAAACAGCTCACAGAAGCCTCCTCACCTAGAAAGTCAGAGCGCAAATAAAATATACATTAAATTTTAGCCATAAAGACACGGTCACAGACACAATGACATTGTAGTTAACACGGACATATATTGTTTACATAGTCACAATACAAGAGGCACTCGAGCTGCCTAACGACGCAGCTCAATCATCATCATAAGAACATTAACTGATGAGGCCGATAATTAAGGTGATTACTGAAAATGTTAACAGAACCCATTTGTATTCTGAACTCTGTATGTCAAGAGAGCAGAGGATTCATCATTTGTTCTTCAATTACTATGTGAAGAAGAGTACAAAGTAACACAGAAAGACCAACAGAGACACACAGAAAGGGAAACAGATGCCACCACAACCTCATTATCTCATGCATCATTATAGCTGGACATAAAAAGCACCCCATCAAGTTCTGTAGCCAATCAAATACAGTTCAGCAACTGAGCCACTCGCACACACAGGCAGACAGATGAGCACAGAGAGACTCTCACCCAGTTGGATGGTGTTCTGTGAAGCATTACCTGCAGAGAGGCAAGGAGACAAGCAAGTGATCAGGGCGCATTAACTCATACAAGGTAAGAGCCAACCTCACACAGGGGTGTAAATTTCACAGTGAGCATAGAGCAACAGCTACCAGAGCCAATGAGTTTGTTTTCCATGTCATGTTTAATTGAATGCAACACGCCTTAAAAGGGTTGCAGTGTGTCTGTAGGTTAAAGCTGCTTCCTAATTTTAGATTTTTAGATGTAACAGACGCCACAAGAGCACAACTGCTTATGTTTTATTTATATACTTTAAAGCACTTTTCTCATAGTTTTAAGGTCAGGAGTCATGAATTAATTTATATTCTCATAATCTGCTCACGTCAAGTAATCAAACATGGATGCATTATTCACACCACTAATGGAGGCTCGGCAAGATAACAGATGGCAAGGATAATATATTAAATAACAAATCAGAATTGTAACACAGTTATTTACAAAACAGTAAGTGAGAAGGAATCCTAAAACGTGAAATACAACAAGGGTATGGTCTTGTAGTTAAAAGTGTAAAAAAGTGTAAAAAAGAAGAAAAAGATTCATAAACTTTTATAAGCTAGTTGCAAGCATGATGCCTCTGGCTCCATACAAAAACCCTCAGGCTTCCTGATGACTATGGATCTCCTGTGAGTATAGACAGACTTACCCACTCCAAATTATTCTCCCTCTGTGTGTGTGTGTGTGTGTGTGTGTGTGTGTGTGTGTGTGTGTGTGTGTGTGTGTTAGAGTGAGAGAGAAAGAAACAGAAGTGAAAACAAAAAACACTAGCTCCGTCTTTTCTCTAGAACTATGATAAAGCTTCAATTACACATTATCTAAGTGACTTTTATGTTTCTGTGTGTGTGTCAGTGCTCATATTGTATGGATTGACACTCACATGGTTTCACATTGCAGTAGTCCCAGGGTATGGCAGAATTGTTGGTGTAACACCAGGGACCATGTTTGTCTTTATCAGGATTTCGACAGTAGTTTCCTTCCAGGCCAGCCGTCGGCATGCCCCTCTCACCACTGAGCAAACACAGAAACCCGAATGATCCCTTAACAAATCTTTCATCAACATTTATTAAGCCCCAAAGACAATGTGAAAACAAAAGAAACATCTCCCTTGCTTTCGTTCTTTCTTTTAGTTTAAGCAGATAATTTGTCTTGTTTTGACAGTTAAAAAAAGGATTTCTACTGATTTATAACTATGTGTAAAAAGCTGAATGAATTTAGCCAGATAGGATTTGGACCGTTAAATACACAGCTGTGTAGGCTCTCTCCCTCCAGACAAGATAATGAGGTGATTTGCAAAGGAATTACTCACTTAGACAGTATGCTCCCACCTACATTCACATATCTAATACTCGTGCAGACGTATCCCACACATGAAGCATTCTCGCTACAATTTTAAAACCACAAACTAAATTCCTTCTCACACCAAATTCCTTAACTAATAAGGTGGTGAAATCATAGCAATCAAGGGTTTAAAATTCATGTTTATTTATATTATCCTTCTGGTGTAGCCAGCTCTCTCTCTGACTTCCTAACCCCAGCTTTTGACCCATTAGAAGGAGCCATACAGTGGGGTTGAGTGGCTTTGAAGTGTTCCTGTAAAGGAGCGGATTTAGGGTCAAGGGTGAGTTGTAAAGAGTGCATCGCCCAGCCAAGTTATCTCTGGGAGTCTTTCTTGCTCAGCTGGGTCATTTTCAGGAAAACGCTTCTCAAGCCATAAAAAAGCTGTAGGGGAGGCTAGGAGTTGTTTTCTCCTCTGAGAACAAGTGGCTTGCCTTGACTGACTAACAACAGCGAGACTTAAGTAGAGGTCACTTATAAAGTGCCTCCCTAAAACAACACCATGTTTCAGATTTGCACACATGGTTCTAGAAAACTCAGCTACACTTGCATAGCAGGACTGTCGTGCACAAGGTCGTCTTCTGTTCAAAATTTGTGTTTTCTTTCTTCTTCTTGTCTCACTGAGTGCCTTAAAATCTCCTACACTTTGTTGGGGTCTGTGGGTTAACATGTTGTGGACCGGTGTGACAATTTAAATGTCTATTTTAGCCAGTAGTGCTTGTCTACAGTTTTATTAATGGTGCAAGTCTGTTTTCTACATCATAGTGAAGTTTGGGAAAGTGATTAGGAAGTAGCAGAGATCCAGTGGGCTGACCTGTTGCTGTGGTCTCTCCAGGGAGCACAGGGCAGGTTTGATCTAGTCCTTGACTGCTGTCCTTGGTAATTTTCTCCAAATCTTTCATAGCAGTCTGGATTTGGACAAAATGAGATAGAAGAATTAGATAGGCTGTCTGGACACATACTGCGTGTGCAAACAAATAAGGGCTTTAAACAAAAATATGCAAAACAGTCTCTATAAATGTACAATTATGCTTGTGGTGCTGTTCAACTGAAAAGCTAGAGTAAAAAAAAAACTGTGGATTGTGTTCAAATATGAGCAAAAGAATACACAACCCTTAGCTGAGCTATCGTAGTTGTTGTAGTGGTCCTACTTTATGCTTGGCTGGAAACACAAAAGTAATCCTTGACAATGATAAATGAGAAAAATACCGCCGTTCATAATTTTTTTTAGCTGTTTGTTACCCTTCATTTAATTTACAGTATTTTGTATATGGGAATGTATTGAACTCTCAAGCGTAAACCACAAGATAGCCTCAGAGTGGTTTTATAATTCCAATTCAAGCCCACTCAGTCTCGAAAGAATATCCGTTAAAATCCCTTAGGGAATCTGAATTTGCCTACTCAGCTATAGATCTGCATGTAGAACTTCTAAATCTACCTCGAAAAGAATCTCAAACAGCACTAATCTTTTGATCTTTTTTTAGTGACCAGTAAGAACTGACCATCCTGAGTTGCTGTCAGATTTTATTTGTGTGATACATGGTGGTCAGTCCTTCCCACACTCTTACAGGGCAACAGCTTTCCGCTGGGATGTGTGTGGTTACAAGATCTCTCTCAGAATATGCGCATTTATCTGCTTCCGATGGAGAGAAAATTGTCTTTTCCCTTGCTCCTGTCAAAGCCAAATAAATCCGTTGAGTCTCTCACCGCTGACAAGCCTGTTTTGGGTGCCACACTGAGGGATATTAATGCAGGACATTGTGCGGACTCTTGGGTCTGTAGTGAAGCACCAGGGGAATTCTTGGCCATCTGGATTTCGACAGAAGTTCTCTCTCAGGTCCCTGGAAAACACAAGAGAAAGTCATGCTGTAATCTGCTAAAATGTAAGTGCAAGGGTGAGTGAGTGGATGGTTGTATCATGTAAGTTTCTGACTCACTTGCAGGGGTAGGCTTCAGGCAGGAATGTATGGTTATGGGGATACTGAGAGTCCCAGCGCTGGCAGGTAAGTCCAGTGGGTGTCATATCTACTGCTCCCCTGTAACCCTCTCCTCTGCCCTGGTAACACTCAGTTGTTTCCACCACATTACTTTTAGGAGGGGTTTCTAAAAAATATAGACAAAAAATTAATAATAACACATGTTCTTAAACAAACCAAAAGGCAAACCAAAATATAGCAAGGATAGTATAGTATATAGAAAGCTTAGTAATTTAGGCTCAAGATCTTGTGCTCTTGCAACTAAAGATGTTTCAGCATAACCCCCAAAAGTCAATCTTTATTTACATATGTTAGATAAACAAATCCTCTTCGATATGAGGATCATCTCTGGTATATGAGGAGAATTAAACACTACCAACCACAACTGAGGGCTAACCCAACTCTTAAAATCGTGGTTCTTTCCCTCAACATATATAATGCTGAAAAAAAAATGCAATTAACGCATAAGGCAATATGAAATGCATATGAAAATTAATTTTAAATGCCTCAACTACAGTGTATAAATGGGGCCAGTGTTGCCAACTTAGCGACTTTGTCGCTATATTTAGCGAGTTTTCAGACCCCTTAGCGACTTTTTCTCTAAAAAAAAGTCGCTAAAAAAGACGTGAAAGCGCATATCACTATTACTCTCAACAAGCAGCGGGTGCTGTAACGCAGTCAGTTCTTCTTTTACTCTTTTACTCTTATGCTGTTTTGTGGATCACAAGGTTTAAAATTACTTATAAACACACACACACAAAGTAACTCCACCAGAGTGCCTATTTCGGGTCACTTTTGCCGGTCCAAACCCGGGTAAAGGAGCAGGGTTGGAATTGTGACATTAAAAAAAACAATAATTGCTAAAAGAAATTTAATTTGGAGTCCTAAATAAACTCTAAATGCATTTAGGACGTTTTTTACTCACTTTATGTCTCTTCCACGATGTTATTTCTCTCGTTGGTTAATATTAGATTAGCATGACCAATTATGCAAATTAGGCGATGACGTCATTTAGCGACTTCTAGCGACTTTTAGGACAACCAATAGCGATTTTCCTTACTGAGGAATTGGCAACACTGAATGGGGCTAGTTTGAATCTGCTCAAATTTACCATTTATGATTGCACTAACATAGAAAAAAAGACAGTGTGAAAAGTTTGGCCACCTAATTTACACTGTGCACAGAGATGGTGAAGAACTGATAAAAGCTCATTTAGTTTAAATGGTGTATGAAGAAATTTTGAAAACAATTGCTGTGAGTTACAGATCAGTGAAATGAGAGCGGAAAGAGAAAAAAAGTGATGAAAACTGAATAAATTATGGTAACTTTGAACTGTATAGAAAGTTGAAAAACCCTCAGGAGGTTTTTCATTTGCCTGAAATTTGTATATCGTTCTCCATGAATGATTTTCCAGGAAGATGTTTCAGGAACTTCCACAGGGTCAAGGTTCTGCCACTGTTGTAATTTGCATTTTCACACGAAACATAAACAAATGAGTCTACCAATATATCAAAATATGTTAGTCTGAATGCCATCCTCTGCAAAAAAAAATTGGTAACTGTGAACTGAAGTCAAACAAAAAGTGTGTTTGTGTAACATTGCTGTGGAAAACCTTAATATAATAGATACAATTACACTGATTAATGTTGCATGCTAAGCCATAAAAGTGTATGTATGTTCAGAAAAGTACAGCTTGCCAATGGGGCACTTTTTTGGGGGGTTGTGGGGTAAATTGTCTCCTGGTAAATTTAGACCCTCACTGTGCAGAATTCAGTCTCCCAACTGCCAACACCTACAATTCAGACTGCAACAAACAATTTGCTCTGATGGCAGCCAAATTAGTTGGCCTAAAAATGACACTGTCCTCATCCCCAGGTTTTATCATTCCCCGATCTCAAGATACATCCACTTTGTATTAGTGCACAGTGATGTCAATAGTAGCAAACAGCCAGGATTATAGATGTATTCAGTGTGACAGTGTATTTGAAATGGTGCCAAATACTCTTAGTACACTGACTATCTGACATCAATAGAATAGCTGTGGTTTTGAAAGAATGCAGTTTAGCTAGGCTCAAAAAGATAACCAAGGCACAAAATTGAGTCTGCTGTGCTTGTCTTCACGGAGATCCTCATTAGATAGTGCTACAAGTTCATTAACCTGAGCATTACACGACTGTACCCGAAAATGTACAAAGCGCCAGATCTTCAAGTCTCTAAAACAGAGATTTGCTGTGCATAGTAGATGCATAAAAATAGATTTGAACTAGTTTGACAGTAAACAAAAGAAGGGGCCTTATCAAATGAACACTTTATCTGGTTGTCTCTGTGTGCCTTGTTTTGATTAAGACTAACTGGGTCGTAAACTTGGTCTGTTCCCAAAAAGCTCCCATAATAGAGAAAGAGTGAGAGAAGGGTTGAATGCCCTGGGTAGAAGACAATTTTTAGAGAGGAGAAAATAAGGGGGAGAGAACAGTGAATCACTGGGTCCACATGGTGGAGTGCCATCTAGTAAACATGGAGCCAGGACTGCTGATGCTTCTAGCAGGAAAGCAGGCCGGTCACAGACTAAAGAGAATAAAGCAGAGTCCAACAACAACACCAGCTCTGTTTCTATTTTATGTTCTTGAAGAATCCAGTGTCTGACTTGTCACTGATTGCAGGGTGAACTCCAAGCACGCAGTGTTTGCTGGTTTACTACAAGTGCAAAGACACACAAAGCCAAAGCCAGATGTGACGCACACACGATCTCTTAAACATCAATCACACCGTTTGCACTAAGTGTATGAGGTGTAAATGATCTGCTTGTAGTGTGTGTGACCCTGGTGTTGTGTCTGCATGTGTAACACGAGGTTAATGTAGAGCAGTAATTCAGACCTGTGCAGTCTGACTACCACACATAAGAGCTGGCATAGAACAATAAACAGAAAGCCAGTGGTGCAGGGAAAAAAATAAACATTCTGGCTATCAGAGAAGACATAACAGAGAGCCAACCCTAAGAAGGAGGGGAGGGGGGCTCTGCATCTGTTTGTGTGGGTGGGTGAGTGTGTGTTTGTATATTCTTTAGCATTAGCCAGGAAGAGGGGAGGAATGGTAAAATGAAAGGTACAGGAAGCAGTAAATTTTGCTGCAGTCAGTCATACTTTGTCGACCCGCACTGAGCAGCAACACTGCCACTAACAGAAGGGCATAGATTGCTCCGTAACATGCATGACAAATGGAAATGGATTCAACCACACACAAACAAACATGAATATATGCTCACCGCAAACTGTGATGTTGCAGTACTCCCAGGGTGTATTTGGGTCTGTGGTAAAGCACCAGGGTCTTTGGCGTCCGTCTGGGTTTCTACAATAGTTATCATCCAGGCCTTTGTCAGAGTACCTAATACAAAACAGGCAGAAAAAATATGTAAGCAGAAACAAGACTTAAAAGCATTGCAAATAAACAAAATATAAAACAACTATCACACACTTGGAGGACTCATGAGGATGTTAACTGCCACTATATTCTGAAAGTCAAGAGATCCCTGTCAAGAGATCCATGTTTCTATTTTCCTGCTGATTCACAAGCAGTGCAAAATAGTTGAGAGACAATTCATTGCATGTAACCGACACACTAATAACTCTTCTGAGCTCAGGGGAGTGAGGAAGATAATGAGTTGCACCACAACAGGTGTTCTACAGTAAGTCATCCCAAAGTCCTACATCCCTTCAGGCCTGTAGCCACTAGGCATGAAGTATCAGGCAGTGGGACCCTCTTATTACATTAGTGCTATGAGCAGTCTGGGACCTCGTTTACATAAACAGTGGGATGATTAAGGATGTGTTAACGAGTCCCCACTAATCCAGACCACCTGCCATCCCACTAGCTGTCTTGACACAGATGCACACAGCTGACGTGTACGCACACTCTTTGAAGATCGTGCAACGAATAATAATATAGATTAAAATATATGAAACCTTAAAACAGGTATAAATGAATAACAGCTTAGGCCCAAGTCTGAGAGTTTAAAGCAATTTGGGACAATTAAGTCAAAATGAAGCATTTTCCCAACATATTATTGTTAAGTACACAAAAAAAACCACATAAACACACACTGGATTCCAATATTATTCCTTTGGGGAAGGTTTTCACTAACTGAATCCAAATCACTTCATCACCAAAGTAAGTGCAGCGAAACTACATTGAATTACTTTATGAACCTTTTAAAACATAATGTATTCTCATGCTATAAGCATGCATGCAAGTAGATGTGATTGAGCTTGCACAAATTTTGTGCGCTGCAGAGGTAAGTGTGTATCTGTGTGTGTGCACTTGTGAGCATCACCTCTTGGGGTGGTACAGGTGTTTGTGTGGGTCATCCAAGTCCCACCGCTGGCATTCTTTTCCACTTTCTGTGTGGTCCATTGGTCCTCTGTAATCCTCGCCAATACAGTTGATACACTCAACTATACAGCAGAAAAACACATGCACATATCTTAGAAAAATGCTAAGTTGATCAATGAAAAATCATATATCCAGAATATAAATGAGAGGTGTGTTTTTTTTAGTAGGATAGCCATGGGCTGACAAAGGAATAGAGCTGAAGATCAAATTGAATACACTTTAGTGTTTAATATTAGATTCCCAAACTGTTAAGCAACATTTTGAACTAAACATTTTGATAACATAATACGTAAAGTGGGATAAGCAACATTTTTTTGTTTGTTACACTAGACAAACAAGTCGTTAACAGCCTTTCACCATACTAGATTTTCAACTGGGCTGTGCAAGAACTGGATTTCTACACCTACTACAGTGGAACCCCGACTTACGAAAATAATTCGTTCCAGAGGGTCTTTCATAAGTCGAAGCACCTTTTTCCATCGCCTTTTGAGTGAGGCGATGCTGGCTGGAAACGAAGTTCTTGGTGGAGGAAGAGGTGGCGTTTCGTTAAATGGGACTTCGTAAGCCGGGGTTCCACTGTATATCATAATGATCAGTTTTGGCCAATCAAAGTACTTTATTCTTGCATACTTCAGCTTTAATGAAGACTCGTTATAAACAAAGATATTTAAAATATGGATGCAAGCATTAAAAAGTTTCTTGGATAAAGACAAAGCCTCATTTTCTGCCTGGTGAGTAGAATACATTGTCTAGTGTGAACAACAGCAAGGATCCAGATTGGAAACAGATGTTTGTGAGTCCACAGGCTGCACATGTATTTGTGCTTGTACACGCCATGTTTGCGTGTCTGTGTGTATGTTTCCTATTAGGACCACTTAATTTCAGGAGAAACCCTCCCAGTCATTTTTTTACTGGGAGAGCACAGGCTTTTTATCAAAATAAAATGTCATTATCTTTGTTGTACAACTTGTGTCAGTTAAAGAGCAAGAAGGATTCCCATTTTGTCCTACCCAACCACAACCTGGCGCCTCATTAAAGTGATCCAGTGCCATGCATGCTGAGGAAACAACCCCTCTGACAGCATGAATCCCCGAGGATTAGATAACAGAGGTCATTATCATCCCCTCCTTCAGTGCCTGACAGTAACATTGTGCGATATAACATAAAGGCTAAAACATGCTGAGGAGGCCCTCTTCTTTCATCACAACCACATGTATGCCACAGGGATGGATATAATGGCTAACAATTGATGTTGAGTAGACGACAGGGGGATTAATATCCCGTAACATTCCAACACCCGCTTCTTCAGGTTCAAACCCTTTACAAACCCTGAGCCTGATGGAATGAGAGAGGACAGTGTAAACCGAACCACACACCTGGAAACAGCTGCAGCTGGCCTCAGCAAGTAACACACGCACACACATATAGATAGATAGATATCACAAGAGAGCACAGTTTAGGAGAACTTGCTTAGTCCAACTATATGATTGCCTAGTTTGCCGGAGCTCATTTCAGGCTATCAAGCCTCAATTGATGAGATAATGCAGATTGCAGAATGGGTATTATTTTAACATTAATATGTGCTCATATAAACACTGATATATTTCTGCAAACATGTGTGCCTGTGTGTAAAACCCACCCTCTGAACACTGTGGTATGCCACACTCCTCATGTCTGAAGTGTGGCCGAGGGTCAGTGGTAAAGCACCATGGGCCAACAGCAGAGTTGTCTGGGTTGCGACAGTAGTTTTCCCGGAGGTCCGTCTTCCTGAACCTCTTAGACATGAATCTGTCAGAAGCAGAGCTGCAGTTAAAAAACAAACACATGTACCAAGACCTGCTGCCAAATACAGCGTTTCGGCTCGCATGCAGAGCAACTTCTTTTTGAAAAACACCAAAAGGTCACAGTTTGTGGTCTCTGGTTTTAATCTCTGACAGAATGACTTCTCCTTGCTCATTTACAAGAGTGCTGCTCTGTAAACACCACCAGTGGAAATTAACAAAAATAAAAGTTACTGACAACTATGCCAAAGGACTGAGTCATCAGTGACACAGCAGTCTTTTTTTTTAGGAAAAACAGGTTAATACTTAAAAGCAAAGTTAGTTCTCCATGAGGTTGGCGTTGGTGGACGTAACATAAACACACTGACAAATGACTCATATCTTTTACATCAGGGAAGCACATGGCTGTAGTCACCAGCTGTGATGATGGACACAGAAAGCATAGCTTGTTAGACAAGCGGTATTTTTCCACATGATGGGGAAAAGATAAAGCTATGAAATAGTCCTTCACTAGATTTGGTAATGACAGGTACAAAAATGAGAAGTCTTTGGTGGGCAATCTATGGAGGGGAAACCTTACACTGATAAAAATGCTATTTGAACTTGTGTCTGTGTGTATGTGCGTGCATTAATCTGTGCTTGCGTGTATGTCAATTTCCCATGTCTGTAAGTGAACTGATAAAACATACAAAGTGCCTGGGTTTAATTACCTGATTTACAGAAAAGTTAATAACGGCCTGATAAAGCAGGTTCACTGGAGGTGCAAACGTACACTGCCGGCTTTGATTCGACACTACAAAGCCTTTCAAAGTCGTTTTAAATCTCTAAGGAGAAAGGGCAGTGGGATTTTTCTTTTTTACTGAAGGTTCAACACTATTCATGTGCTCTTTGTTTTGGAAATCAGGAAATTGGTGGCTATCTTTCAATCTTGGATTACCTTTAAATATGAAAGTGATAAAGAGAATAATGAACAGAATTCCAACAATGTGGAAAAAAGAGGAAAACAGTTTAAAAACAAAAGAGAGAGGAGGTAGCATAGGGTTCAGCGATAAAGTATGGCTAGTGTACAGTACAGTCGTCTTTGATTTTCAAGGAACCACATAGCTCTGTCTGCCGCTATTAAGTCTACAGTGGATCTTAGTCATATAGGCTTAGATTAATGTAACTATATTGTTGCTTACTGGGTAAAAAAATATGCAACTGCACTGTGCAATGTAACCGAGATCAGTGCAAATTTCACTTTTGTCATCTTTTACTGGCATCTTATTATTTTAACTTTTTTCTTACTTTGAAAAATATCTTATCAGCAAAAATAGATTTAGATATTTAGGGGACATACCTAGAACTTAAATTTAACCAAATGTGGCATATGCCAGTAAAAGTAAAATACACACACTTGAATTCACACTACATACACATCTAGATAAACAGTAGGTCCACAGCAGGAAATGATCTGTGACTGTGTAAGGCGTTACAATGAGGTCAGTTCTGATGAATGACTGCTCCCAGGAGCCTAATCAACCCCTAATATATCATACTCATATATACATATGCACACATACAGACCAGCCTCTAGCTACTAGCTAATTGCATTACTAGCAGGCCAAAACTAACAGTAAGAAAGAGCTTATAACACTATTTTGTTTGACATTGTGGTGTAAAGTACATCAGATTCTTACTTGTGCTCATGAGGAACAGGAGAAGCCCAGGCCTGGCACAGGATCCCACTCACAGTCACTGACCTCCGCCCCCTGTAACTCTGCCCTGTTCCTACAATGCATTCTCTAACATAGTCTGAAATAAGACAGACACAGAGAATGGTCTTGTAAATGTGATAAGTGCTTTGCATACAGAGCCAGAACAGATAATAGAGAAAACAGACAGAAGGAGATTTTCATCTGAAACACTGAGCTTAACGGAGATGCGACAATGCCAAAAGTCAAATCTGCTTTCCTAATCATCTTTAAAATCTGGACTCAGTAAAAAATATGTTACACAGCCGGCATGTTCACAGTTCACAGTTGTGGTCAGTGTGATTGAAAACGGGTGGGAATTTCCATTATTTACATAAACACCGCTTAATGACAGAAAATGAACCATGATGTGGCCCAACCCAATAAACACGCCAATAGTCCTTGCCCTTCCTAGTCTTCCCCCCAGAGGGTTCCCATCATCACGGAGCTAAAATCACTCTAGCATAAATTGTTATGAAATGGATATTATTTTTTTCTAAAAAATGTAAATCAACAAAACCTCTACAGAAGCAGTGGTGTCTATTGAAAGAAAGGCTACCTCAAGGATGTGTTTTTTCTGAGAGTCAGAGACACTTGTTGTGTATGTATCAGCTGGGTGAGCAAAAACATGGAAATGTAGAGCACCTTTCTTCTCATAGAGTTGGTAGTTCATGTTCTGCTGGCTCTGAACTCCTGGTGAGTTCCTGTCGAAGGACAGCCACTGGCATTTCCTGTTTTTATGATCATACACAAATGCTCTAGAGAATAAAGAGAATTGGAAAGGAGGAAGAGAAAACAGGAGGGAGAGTGAGAATAATGATGGTCAGTTTTATGACATCTTGAAGTAAAAGGAAACCAGTAACACGGGGATTCTGTGAGTACACAAAGGAGAGGCCTGCTAAACTAACCATCAAAATTCATGCATCATGCAAACATTAATTAAGTCAGACGAACTGAAAGCCATTCCCATGTTACCAAAGTAATATCCTGAAACTGAAAGGGTAATGACATTAGCATGGACAAACCTGCAGGTAAAGGGGAGCCTTTTGTTGCGGCTGCAGGCTTTAGCACATTTCGATAAGCTCAGCTTCCTGCTTTTGGTCAGGTGGGAGGAATCAGAATGGACCATCAGTTGAATGCTGTCAGTTTTCTGGTAGTCCTGGAGAGCATTTCTTCTGCCTTCTGATACACAATTACAAAATGTGGTCACAATTACTGAGTAGCATTAATTTGACATTTTACATTATTAATGAGACTCAACTATAGGTAGAGAGAGCATCATTAGGAAGGGCCTGATGCTGTTGTGGTTGAACACGGACAGATAGCTTTATGACAGTCTACAGACTTGTCTGACTCTACATCCATGACAAAAGTAGTCTTAGTCTGCCCATTCTAAATTGTATATATTAACACAAGGGATACTAAATACTACTTCTAGTAATAATAATAATAAAATGAATTCACACAAACAAAGTATTCTTTGTTGTCTGCTGATGAGACTGTCTAGAAAACGTCTCAAACACCTCATTTCTTTTTATTTTGCAAAGAGCCAGACTTTCATTTAATTTAAGGGGTCTTAATTCTTCAGACTTTTTGCATATCTTTCAGTTTTTTTCTTTTTCAGTTATTTTCACTCCAGTCCTTGTTTGTGATCATTTTCACAGAAATATTTTCTTTTTGTGTGTTTAGTCACTTAACAAACAAAAAAACTATGAATCATTCAACCATTAGAAAAAAAAAAGCACTTACACCAAGCAATAAAACAGTATTGTGTCTACATGTAACAGGCAACTTAGCAAAACAATTTAAAAATGCATCTTGTGCACTCTGTAATAGTATTTTTGCACCAACAAGATTATTCCCAAAAAGCTTTTGCATATCTGGCTTGATGTGCACTTTAAAAAAAAACTGAGGAAACTGGACAGATGGAAGACAAAAGAAGAAGTCTTTAAAAAAAGCCATGGCCTTAGGGAATGAAAAAACAAAAACAACTGTAAAACTGCAAAAAAAAAAAAAAAAAAGACCTGACACAGGACCTGAGAGATGCATTTTGGCCCTTTAGCGGCTCTCTCTACTGCTCACCAAAGCCTCATCTGAAATAGCCTCAGTGGGAGGCTGGCTTTTAAAAGCCATATTTAAGGAAGGGAAACAAGGAGAAAATGCATAGGTAATGTGCAAGAACTGGACTGAATATGAGTGACAAGAGAAATCAGATCCAAATAAATATGGAGGTCAGCAGAGATGTACATTAGTGAGTGTCTACAGCCATCTGTGAAACAGAGTGGATGCTCTGTCAATGTTTGGAGCTGAATGAACGCATAAATGTACCAACAGATTTTGGTCACCATGGAAAGCATCTGAGTAACAGTAGTTTCATTTTTTTAGCATGACAATGATCAAAACTACACTCCCAATGCAGTAAAAGTATACCTTGTAGAAAAACACCATGGAACACTATCAGTCATGGATTGGCCTCCCCAGAGACCGGGGAAGCAGCATCCATAGAAGAGCTTTGAATGACTTACACGAAGCCTGGAGAACTATTCCTGAAGACTACTTGCAGAATTGCAAGACAGCTTGGCTAAAAGAGTTCAGGCTGCGTTGAAGAATAAAGGTGCTCATACCAAATACTGACTTCAAGTTTCTAAGAATCGTGCAAACGCTGTTCTTGCTTTCAAAAACCATATTTCCATTTATGTTTGCAAACGTTTCAATAAATCACTGCACCTATTTCCCCATTTTCCTGCTAAAATATAAAGAAATGAGCAGTGACTCAAGGCTTTTGCACAATACTTTATGTGTGAAGAAGTCTGCTTTAACTGTGCATCCCATTAGGTTTACAGCGTCCAATGGGATGCACAGTCATTTGTCACTGGCCCCAAATGAAATCGAGGCTGACACACACACACAAACACATAGAAAACATACAAACAAAAATCGTTGAATCACTTGAAGGGAAGACGTCACACATCAGAGTTGATTTCAGATTCAGTGTCTGGATAGTTTACTATGTGGTAAGCAAGCTGGGGAGCACAGAGTACCAGAGGCCTAGTGTTTGTCCGCTCGTCAGCTTGAGTTGACCGGCTGAGTGCCAAGAAGCAATGAACCGCGAAAGTTGCACTCAGCTAGAGGGTGACTGCACGATTGATTGGATTTTAACAGGTCACTTTAGGTGACAGTGGGTTAGCGTATAAGCAGATGTTTTTTTCTTATCACTTACCCAGTGTTCATTCAGCTAAATTTCAAAGCGATACTGTATAGTCTAATGAGCTCTGGTAGTGAGTTAGAATGAAAAAGCTCTGTAATTTCTCTTAGCAAAAGCATCTCTTTTCACTGAAGTCCAGTCTTAAAAAATACTGCCAGGGATGTGTTTTGACTCTAAGTAACGCTAACCCATAAATCGCGCACCCCCAGATTGCATTAATAACACACCTATACAGAGTTAAACACAAGACGAATGTGTTATTATCCGAACATCGCAGCGACAGTAATAAAATCAGATGATTCAAGGCACTCCTAACTCGTGCTTGACAGTTAGGGAGCGCAAACCAGTGCGCTCACACGCTGGCTCTGGTGTCACACGTTGGGCAGCAACGGGAGCAGTTGTGAGTAGTTTTCGGCAAACTTACCAGAGCAAGAAACGACGAAAACGAATCCGAAAACGACCTTGTAAATCCACATGGTCTCGTCACGCAACAACGGTTTCTGGAAACAAGTCGGAAAAGCTGCTCGCGTTGCTGTCGGACTGCAACCAGGAGATGTTGCTCCCACCACTGCACAGATGATGCGTCTTCTCTCTAAGTACTTCCCCGCGTCACCCCTCCCTCCCTCTCCTCCCCTCCTCTGTTCTCTCTCTCTCTTTCGATGTGTGAGTCTGCTTATCCCTCCACCCCTCTCTCTCTTTCTTTCTTTTCTCTCATTTCCTTTATTTTAACCACCACCAATTTTCAATTAGGTAAGCACACGCACACACATTGCCATCTCTTCCGTAACAACGTTGAATAACTGATCTTTATATGAGCAACGTGCATCTGCGTCTTCAGACCCGTGGTTTAGGAAATATTACATCCTCTCTTTCTTTTTCTTTCTTTTTCTTCCTTAACACCCTCCACCGAGGGTTACTTTCTTATAATTAAAAAAAAAAGTTTTAATGTCTAGAAGGAAGGAAAAATGATTCTGCTATTGTGGCAAATTTTGGGAAACATTTTCTGCTGTAATCCATAAATTTCATAGACTACGAAGACCTCAAAATCTAATTGAAAAGCAGTGCTACCACAGTTATACATTTGGACAGACTGCAGTATGCGTTCCTACAAGTCTGCAAAAAAAAACATTATTTTAAATGTTTTGTTCTGCGGATTCTTTACCTATCTCACTCTCGCTCACCTTTTACTACTCAGTCATCTTTTTGGACCCTTTTCACTCTGCTTTTTTACAACCTCACCAGGGAACACTGCGTCCAAAACAAAACAGATATCAGCAGGCACTTGTCAACAAAGATAAACCTAATGGGGATGCAAAGGACAGGGAGGTTGTTTATGCTACTTTACTTCTTTCTCTAAGTAGTGAAATTACCGGTGGGGGTGCATGAAGACATTGCATCCATCTCCTGAGTGACATGTCTATTTCCAGTGACGACAGCACAAGACAGCAGGCATGACACTTAGCTGGCTTTTCTCTAAATACCTTCAATGCAGCAGTCACAGAGCAGTCCTTGGATAGGAGCCTGATGAGAAGTGCAGTAAAGAGACATCATGTAAGTTATCACAAGGCAGGGGCTTGCTGCATTATGGGAATTCCCGGTATTTTCTTTCAAATCATACCATGTGTGCAAAACAAAAACAGACCAATAGACGAATAAATGTCTAAGGGGAGACAGACTACATCGCTATCTTCTCGTTGGTGCAATGAGTAATACTCCTGTGGCTTCCTGAGAGGACTACAGTCATTTGCAATAATAAACAATCAGGCATGAGTCAGATACTTTCACTGGAGTAATGCTCAAGCTCCCTTTCTTTACTCTCTTTCTTTGTGTACCAAATCTCATCTACATCCACATATAACTAAACCACACACTGTATGCTTGAGGGAGATTGATTCCAACTTTTTTTTTCTCTCTCTCTTTTGTCTTTCCAGAACTCACATTCACACAGATTCAAAAACACGCATGTTCACACATAACGAGCAGCAGATGACTGGATAACCTTTACCAGTTTGAGTTTCCAACAGAAAGACTTCTTCACCACAATCTCATTACTGACTTCTCTTAGCAAGAATCCAGTGGGTGTTTTCACTGACTCCAAGAGCAACAGCTTCTGCTAGAAGATGGAAATTAGAGAGACCCAGTAGCCCACCACTTTCCTCATAAGAGTGCTGTCACCATGCAAGACTCCTGACATCTGTGGCCAGTTATTGGCAGAAACCTATCTTCATCCTGCTGGCAATAGAAGGGGGAAGTTCAATAAGAGATGGAGATGATATAGAGAGTAAAGAAGGTGATATGATACGAGTATAAATGAAGAGTTATGCGAGAAAAACCAATTTCTTTATGAGGGAGGTACAATGCAGAGCAGGGTACTGACGGCTGGGCTGTCTTTGTGCATATTTGCGGAGTGTGTGGAGTATTAACAGACTTCCTGCAGATTTGTTTGGAAATTTTGTGTGCATTGTGTTGTGTACTATTATTTCCCTGCAAGTCCCATTACGTGGACATTTTCATCTGCAGCAAATTAGCTGACCTCTAATCATTCCAGCCTCTCTTCCAGATTACAGCCAGTCGGAATGAGAAATTAAAGGAGGGAATAGCGTACCAATGGGGTAATAGTTTGAGCAAGACAGAGAGCGACGTAAAGCAGAAAAGGACTCTGTATGAGGAAATGTGGGAGTGCAGAGGGGAGGTGGCTCAGGTATTTCAGTCTAATTAGAAAAGAGTCAAATTTAGGGGTTGTGTTAGCTCTGTTGGAGTTAGTGATGACAGTGCTGGGGCTAGACTCTGTAAACACAGATACTGTGTCAAGACATCCTACTTTAAACAAACACACATTTCCTGTTGTCAGTGCATGCGATTATAGTCACTGCTCGTAATTGTGATCCACTGACAGTTACAGGCAGCACAAATAAACTGCACACACACTTCTTGTACAAACAAATAAAAACACAGCGTGTGAGATGAAATGTGTGTGATGCCAGCCCCGCTGTCTGCCTTCAAGTTAAATTTCCATTTGATTTTTATTTCTGACTCTCATTTCAAGGGAAATGCTGCAGAGTGGGCAGCTAACAGAAATGCAAACCTAGAGTTTTAACACATCAGTTCATTATCATGCACAATAGCAAACTGAGTCACCAACATATTCCTAAAAATAGCTTTAAAGAGGATCAGAAAACCATTACAGTTCTAAACCACTCAATACGTCATTGATTTTCCTCTCAGATAATTCATCAGTGAACAAGTGCTTTTGTCATTGCCATGGACATACTGAAACTTATTGATCACAGAAAGTAGAGACCAAAATTTTACATATGACTCATCTTAAACTGCTGAGTCATCACTGAGGTTCATATCTGTAGATGCACCATGGAAATTGCACTTTTTACTCTCTTTTATGGGGAAAAAGTGATGTTAAATTGACTCTTCAGTCGGTTTCTTGTTAGAAAGCTATTTTTCAAACTCAAAAATTTCTGCACTATAATTCCTGTACTGAGAAATATTACTTAAACAATTCAAGAGACCACACTCAGTTCAAGAGCAGAATTCTTGTAATGCCTTTTGTCTGTCACTTCTCCTGTGTTTATGGGTGGTGATGTGAACATTTGAGACTGAGCCTTGGAACAATTCATAAGCAAAATGGCCTTGTGAGTTTGTATATCCACAAAACCCCGAACTGTTTAAATGACACATCCTTTAGCATAGTACACAAGGAGCTTGTGACACAAACACATCAACATCCCACACTGAGTCTATTGTGCCAATCCTTTGACGGCGGATCACTCAAATGTGTGCAGCACAGAAACAAAGTGGGGGAACAAAAACACACAAATGGGTCATGTTTATGTGCTCAGCATTTATTGTAAAGGTCAAGCTATTTAATACAATTGTCATGCTCTTTCATACACATGGTTATTTTTTTTTAAACAACCCTTTTGATCAGATGTATCAATTTCTTCCCAGTGGAGCCTCGCTAATTAGATTACTCCGGAAGTGAACAAAGATGAAAATGAAATTTGTCACTAACCACAGAAAATGAATTTAATTCCCAAGATCCACTTTGATCGATGACGTGATTACAGTAAAAAGTAAAAACTAACTCCAGTTAAACAACAAGAGACTATCCAAAAAACACACAATAACACCAAACATCCACTCCGACCACTACAACAGAGAGTCAAAGTATCAAACTAATGACTTAGAATAGGGGACATTTGGAAGCAGGTCCTAAAATAGTGCCTAAACCTGTGCTTCCTTCTTTCTTAAACATCTGCAAACAGTCACCTTGTCTTGTCTGCTCCTCACTGCTAATTTACCCCCACGTGATTCGTATAGAACTGGAGACACACAGAGGAGGAAAGATGATTGGTTAAATTAAAGAACAGACAGAAAAGCGTCTCCAGGTCAGCAGGTACACTTCATCCCACATGTGTCTGTGTCCGACCTGTACACGTAGTCACTATGTTGTGACTGTGAACATGGCATAGAGTAGGGGAAATTGCAAGCGATCTGTAAGTCTTTTAGTACCTACCTGAGTGATTTGCACACAAACACACACGCTGTACACACAAGTAACTTGAGATGTAAACATAATTCAAAAAGTCGAATGTTCACGCCAGCTCTGTGAGGTCTCTTTGTACCACCTGCCAAAGTTCTACTGCTCCCCCGTTTCTAGCAGAGGGCCCGCTAAATTGTCAATGGGGCAACAATTACAACCAAGTGAACCAAATGACATTTTCCCTTCCTGTCTGTCTAATATTTTTTTTCATATGTTTTTTAGTTTTGTGAGTGTTGTGCACACATTTTAGGCACGCGTTGAATGGAGGACACCTTTGCCATGATTGCGGGTAGCAATATAGGCAAAAATATATGAATTAAATCAAGCTGTGTTGAAGCAGCATTGCATTACATACGTTTTAAAGATACATGTTAGGTAGTACAAGTGTCTATGAGAACTTATCACGGAACTGCTGCAGGCTGTAGTCTGTCTCAGGGTAATCTATCTTTTTGTGTAATGCCAAACTGTCTTTGTGATGCTGAGCTCAAAGCTCTTTGGGACCAGTCAGTCTATTCCAGGAAATCCCATTCTTCTTTTGGCTGAACACTGTCTGTAGCTGCATGCTTTAAGTTTAAAGCAGTGATGCAAATCTATCTTGTCATCTAAATCAAAAGATACTGTGTTTCTGCTTTTTTATTAAATGGTGAAATTGAAAATTCACAGATAACAGCAGTAATTATATTTTGACATTAAAAATATCATTTCAATTAAACAGATTGTGTGTACTGGTGGATTAGTTATTATTAATCTCTGGCTCTCTTCCACAGCGTGTCTTTGTTTGTCTTTGTCTGCCTCCCTTCACCTAAACACAGCATGTGGCCTGAGCCTGGTTCTGCTGGAGGTTTCTTCCTATTAAAAGGGAGTTTTTCCTCCCCACTGTCACCATGATGCTTGCTCATAGGTGTCATATTATTGTTGGGATTTTCTCTGGTTTTTTTGTATTATTATGGGGTCTTTACCTTACAATATTAAGCACCTTGAGGCAATGGTTATTGTGATTTGCTATATAAATAACATTGAGTTTAAATGAATT